TAATGAGTTACCTGTCGCACGAGTATCCCGAGTTTTCTGAGCTATGTGCAGATAACACGAGCATAGATGAAGTGTGGGCACAGTTTAAGCATCATATCATGCATTGTATTTCTAACTTTATTCCCAAACGAAAACTGGTTACAAGAAAGCACAACCCATGGGTTACCCGCGACATAATTCACCTTAAGCGCAAAATCAAGCGTGTAAGGAAGGCAAAAAAAACGCTAGGAAGTGCTAGCTCACAAATAGCAACGCTGACATCGACCTTAAAAGGAAAGATACGAGACGCAAAACGGCATTTTTATGGACACACCCTACAAAAGTTTATTAAAAGCGCACCCGATAAATTCTGGCGCTACATAAGCGTAAAACGGTCGACATTAGAGGATTTTAGTCTGTCCGGCACTCCGGTACGTTTTTGCGTATACCGGGTTGCCGGAGGGCGTAAAGCCGGATAGCGTTGAAACGAGCCTTTTGCACTTTTAGCCCGTGCCGCCCAAAATACGCCCAAAAAACGCCCGCGACGCCTTCGCGGCTGTGGCCGCCGCATGTGCGTATGCACAAAGTAGAAAGTCTTCGCAATTACTGACTAAGTTTGAAAATAAAAAAAAAACATTGGACAATGCCAATAAACTTTTTCGTTACAAAACGGGACTTTATGTTTGTTTTCTTCAATTGCGCTATGATTTAAACCTAACTATGAAGAAAACATCAGCATCACGGTGATCGGCATCAGAATCGGCATCATGAGTTGCTGACACAAGCGTCATGCGACTCATGCCTACTTTTCGTGTGCTCCATCTGACAACGGCTCCTTTGTGGCATCGGTCGCAGCGATCCATTGATCCCGTTGAAGTGTCGGTGATTTGCTGTTGTCGTGTCTGCATCAACGATGCCGTACAGCGTATTTCACGACCGACTGCTCCTGCGAACTTTGCGATGGAACGAAATCGAAAATATGTATTTGCTCCGAACTGCACCGCGCCGTGACCTCCAGATAAACGGACTTCTTGATTTGGACGGAATGGACTTTACTACATTCTACCGCTCGTTCAGGTTCCATAAAGGAGACCTGGAAGATTTGATGGAAGCCTTGCTGATTCCCGAAGAGGTCATGAGCGCTCAACGGGTTCGAGTGTCTGGTCGCGAGGCGCTGTGCATGACGTTGCGGCGTCTAGCCTACCCTAATCGTCTCTGTGAGCTGGAGCTCTTCTTTAGGCGCCACAGCTCGGTAATATCAAGTGTGGTGTCTAAAGTGTTAGCCCACATAGATTACTACTTCGGGCACCTCCTTGCGGACCTTACAGTGCACAAGTGGCTCAATCTGCAATCACTGGAGCTGTTCTCTCAGGTAAGAAGGCATGCTGTTGCACTGCATGACTGCCTTTAGCGCTATGTTTATGCTTCGCTGCACTACATCTCTGTGTTTCGGTAGAGGTCATTAAATGTAATTCGTGCCCCGCCGTGGTGGTCTAGTGGCTAAGGTACTAAGCTGCTGACCCGCACGCAGGTCACGGGATCGAATCCCGGCTGCGGCGGCTGCATTTCCGATAGAGGCGGAAATGTTGTAGGCCCGTGTGCTCAGATTGGGGTGCACGTTAAAGAACCCCAGGTGGTCGAAATTTCCGGAGCCCTCCACTACAGCGTCTCTCATAATCATATCGTGGTTTTGGGACATTAAATCAATCAAATCCAATTCGTCATTATGAAGGGAAAATAAGGCTCTGGCTTTCTATATTCATAGCACACCAGGCACATTAAATCGCCCCTCAACCCCACCAATGACGTAGCAACATCATCTTCTAAGTAATAATTTGCCGCATCAATTTAATACGTGAATGTGTTGTCGATTTTATTAATATTTTCTAGCGTGCTTCAAAAAAAAAAAGCACAGGCGACATCCCTTTTATTCCCAACACTGTAAAGCAGTTATTTCTGTGAACCAGACACCTACTCCTTCATTATTTTGCCTCCTCATTATCATTACTGCCCCAAGAAAAACCTCATGATGTAGTCAGTGTCACAACAACTGTACTGTAACAATGCCTTATAGATCAGTTTTCTTTCTTGCTGTACCAATGCCATTTGACATATTTCTCAGACTTTTCTGCCCAACGAGACAATTTCAAATTTTATTTGCAGCTTTGTTTAATCAGTGTTCACAGAAAAACGAATTCCATTCAAACTAAAAAAATATCAGTGTTGTGTCGATGAGCAGCCTGCCTTCCAAGGTTAGCACCATTGCTCTATATAACTGGCTGTTCTGTGTCAGCAACCTACTTTTGCATGCAGTTTACTCCATTACTTCAACAGACGCAGTACCTGATGCCAACTACCAGCATAAAAGGTGTTAGTATTTACTATCAATGAATAATTATGACAGATTCACATGAACCACTTATCATTGAAAATGTGATAAGCGAAATTCATGTATGTGTCATTGAATGTTTCTTCTGTGGGAGAGAGATCTGAATTCCTGTTGCAGTGATGCTAAACATCGAGTTAGTGCCAAACACACGTCCTGTCAGGTAGAGCTACTACACCTTAAGCAGCTTCGTTTACTGCGAAAAGTTTAGCTTATACTTATTTTGATCTTGGAACGTCGTGCTATATTTTGGTCTTGGAACTTCGTGCTATGTGTTGCTTTCTGCAGCTGCCATTTCATTTTTCAGGCTGTGCACAGGAAAGGTGCTCCATTGAAGAATTGCTGGGGATTTATTGACGGAACAGCTAGACGAATTTGTCGACCATCAGCTAGACAAGAAGACTATTTTTCTGGGCACAAACGCTATCATGCTTTGAAGTTTCAGGCATTGATGTGCGCAAATGGCATAACCTGTCAGTTGGATGGCCCATTTCCAGGCCGTCGTCATGACGCTGGTATGTGAACTTTCCTCCAGTTTCTCCTGCAAAGGTACCAGACTAACTGAAATGCCCTACGGAATACTATGTTGTTAATGAAACATTTCGCTTCAAACACATTGGCATGTCCTGGCAAGGTAGCATGCACCTCTATGATAGAAAATTCATGTAGGCTAATTTCAAAAGCATGCTACTCCGTATAATTATACCCACTTGATGCTTAACACTTCTGTTTTGGCAAGTCAATTCATCATGAAATTATGATGTACCAGCTCCAACAGACACCTTTACTTCAGACGGCACATATGTACCCGTTTGTCCATTTGTGTCTGCCCTTATTTTTTATTTAAGGGTGTTTGACTATTTAAAAATTCTAAATGAAGAACTAAACAGTGTTTTGTTTGATTTGGTGTTTTAATTGAATGAATATTTGGAGTTTATTCAAACTACAATAATTGCACATAACCAATGGCAAAATGTCAAAGCAACAAAGCTTTAGAAGAGCAAAAGACCAAAACTCTTATTTAAAAGATTGAATTGGGAAGATACACTAATTTCACACTTTTACGGGACTACAAAGACTTCAGTCATCACCGCAATAACAAATTTTTGCTTTGAACTCCAGCGTTGCTGAAGAAAGTGTAACCTCAATTCATTACCACAAGATTCATCATAAGGAATGTTATACAAGAGCTGGTGGCAAAGTACCTCCTTTAATATTTATGTAACTTCTATGTTCATCATACAAATGAAAAAAAATACTTCAAAGGCTGTATACTGCTGTATGTAAACACTCAGTTCACATAATGGTATATTTTAGTGGTCAAATATTATGACGATGTTAATTCATTAACGTGTGGATATTTGCTTGGAATTATGTGTTGTGGCACTCTACAGTTGTCTTCGAAATGGGTGCCTTTCTGTTCAACTGCTATTTGAATAGTACTCTATTCAATTAGGCATGAATTAGGTATCATCACTATTCAATGTGTATTTGTTCAATTCTACATTTCACTATGCACGCCCCTAGTTATTACCAACCTTGCAAAGACAAACGTTCAACTAGAAATGTAACTTCCTCACTAGGCTTAAAGCTGTCAAAATTTTTCATCTTTTATTGGCTTATTCTGCTCCAACCACTTCTTGCCCTTGACATTTGACAAGGTGTCTTAAAGGAGCAGTGACACAATTTTGGATGTCCTGCAAGTGACATTTTTTGATTTCTTGGTATGCGGCATAAAAGTGTACTAACATGTTTTGAGACATTTTTGCTTTCATTAGTATGCAGTGTATTTAACGCTCTCCACACACTGGAGTAAGCGAACACATCCAAAATAGTTTCTTTGATTTGAAAGTTTCTATCACAGAGCATTAGCATGCCTCACTGCAATGAACATCATGTCAACTAGTCAACGCAGTTACTGAACTCTACGTTCTGAGTGCCACCTAAATTGCCCAAATCATTGTCAAGGTCACGGGAAGATTTCTGTCTTATTGTTGCTAATGTGCTTTACAAGCAAATGATGGCCAAAAGGAAAGCTACAAGCCACTGCAGCGCGTGCAGTCATTTACTTTCTGGAGGAATCAGAAATAGCTCAAAAGTACTAAACAAAAAATAAATGTACTTCACTGTTAACCGCGATATACTCCAAACAGTATTTTTGTGTTTTACTATGATATTTTTGGAAAAACCTTGCTGAAAACAGTTACATTTTATTGAACTTTCACTTTTTGTGTGAACACTTAAATTGGCCTGACTACTTGTGTTTTTACAAACTCAATGTGGTGCGGACACATTTCTATGTAGTGTAGACACATTTCTGTGTGGTGTGGACACTCAGTGTTGAAAAATGTGCACTCATCGTGTAAGTTGTGCTATGGCTATATGTATAGCCTTAGCACAAGGCTATCTGTATAGCCTTGTGTTTGCTACTAAATGTGCGATGTCGACTTTTGTGCAAGAGGAGTAGCCGGCGCCACGCATTGGCATCAACCTCTCCTTATATACATTTATTTTTTAAAAAATACGGATCTGCTACTAGCAAGTGACTAGTTGCTGTCTTCCAGTAACGTCAAACTGCCATGAAAAATCACTTAGAGGTCAACAGCCCTCTACCCTTTTCAATTTCACATATTCAGTCATATCTTGAGAACACAGCAGGATATATGCTGCTTCCCTCTTTGTCTCATGGTCACAGTTTTTTTCTTTTTCACCTTGCCATGCTCTTCACTGTCCTGTGTATGTAAGCGTTAACTGGACACACCACCATGATGGAGCACAGGTGTGCGGTCAAGCAGCTGGTACAGTCCAAAGATAGCTCCACAGCTAGGGGAGTAAATCTGAAACTGGCAGTTCAGCAAGTTCTCTTTACTACACTAGTTTGGTGGGACTAGTTTAATAACACTGTTGAACCACTCATTCTTCTCTGCAAGCTCAAGTCTACTGTTTCTGTAGCAGGATACCATGACTGATTATCCCATATAATGTTCAGTATTGTTAAGCAGTTTTTTTTTTCTGCAGGTATCCTAAAGGAGACTGCCCTCTACCGCAACTTGGAGACAGTTACTCAAGGCCGCACATATGTAATATATGGAGACCCCGCCTACCCACTTCGGCCACTGCTCTACAAGCCTTTTGGAGGTGCTTCTTTGCGTCCCCATGAGGTTAACTTCAATAAGCGCATGAGCTCAGTGCGGCAGGCCGTTGAGTGGGGCTTCGGCAGAGTCGTTGCAGACTTTGCCTTCGTTGATTTTTATAAAAGCCAGAAGATGACTCGGCAGAGGGTGGGTCGGATGTACAAAGTTGCAACATTGTTCTTAAACTGCCGTACTTGCATGTATGGCAGCCAAGTGTCTACATATTTTGATGTTACTCCGCCCACCCTCAGAGAATACCTTGTGCCATTTGAGATACCAGCATAGCATACTGACATGAGCATACAATGGATCCTTGTGTGTTGTGCAAGGCAGTTTGCTATTTGTGCGTAGCCGAGTTTTGTTTTTTGCAGCTAGTAGAAGAGAACCAAGACGTTCGGCTCTATTTTAACTGGCTTGTTGATAACCGGGACTTAATTGACTTTCATTCTATTATCATGACAATATCTTGTACAGTCAAACTCCGCTAGAACGAACGCCGCTTCAACGAAAAATTCACTATTCCTCGTCAGCAGTCCATAGGAGTCAAGGCATAAATATTGTCGCCACTACAACCACTTTTTCTTTGATCGTACCGCTTCAATGAAATTTTACGATGCAATTCGAGGCTCAGATACTTATTGGTAATCAGTAAACCCAATCTTTAACATTTCGATGCATATTCAGAACCTGAAAATGCGTCAACGAAGTCTAAAACACATGTTGGCACCACAAGGACCGGGGCTGTTCAGCAAGCATGGGCGCCGCCATTGCTCGATAGCAGTGGTAATGAGACTGCCCTGATAGTACACTCTAGCCCTGCTTTTGCAACTGGTTTGCTTTTGAGCTGCAGACAATCCGAAGCTGAAGCTGCAAAAGGCGCCGCTCCACGATACCCTGCCTCTATCTCAGCGTTGTCGGATACTTTTGATGACGGACAGCTGCTGGTGTTAATGAGTTAATGCAACTGCTTGGTTCGTTCACTAAGGGGATTTCAGGTGTTGTTTCAGTGTGCTTTTGACCATGGCCTCGCTATACATGGGTGAAAAACACGTCGTGTCGCTGCTGGGAAAAAATAGGAAGCAGCGGGCATTTTTTTTTAAATATTGAAAATAAACATTTCTTTGTTTTACTAGTTCAGATCAGCTATATTTTTTTTATTTTACTACAACGAAATTTTTTCCATGTCCTGTCAGTTTCGTTGTAGCGGGGTTCGACTGTAGTAGCTTTGATGCTCATGTCATGATTTAAAGATAAAGAGGCTACAAAGTCTGAAAAAAAGAATAACATGAGAGCGCACAATAATTTCTTGTACTTGCAAAAACAGTCTTCTTTAACATTATCACCTTCAAAGTAGTCCCCTTCAGCATTCACACACTTCTCCATACAGTCCTATTATGGCTGGTGTTAGTTTTGCGATGAGGTTTTTGGGAGGCCCCTCAGGAGATTCTTTATTTTGACTGAATCTCTTCAACTGAGCCAATGATAGGTTCTCTTTCAGCAATATTTAATTTTCACAAATAAAAATAAAAACATCAAGCAAAATTAAGCGAATAAAGTGGGTGTGATGCTCTTCTGGCTATTGCACTTATTTCTGATTGTGCTCTTGCCATTAACATATATATAGGTACCAAAATGCTTTGTTTAATCATAGATCATGGACAGTTCTCATTGGCATAGAGCTGTACCGTGTGACGGCAGCACTGCAGTGCCAGAACCCAAAACCTAGTGGCTAAAAAAGGCAATAATAAGACGGCATCAGTGGATGGGTGGACGTGAGTGGGCGCCAGTTTCCGTTGACGTTTTTTCTGCTCAGCATGCACATGTATGGGCATGCCTTTTCCACCCCCATTGTTCTCACCTCCATCATCAACATTCACTAGCAACGATAGAAAAATTGAGGAATATGGAATCGTGGCATAGCAAATCATTCTCAGTTCTGTCCTGAGCTGTAATTCTGCATACAACGCTGGACTGAGCAGTGATGAGGCAGCTGGCAACGCATGTTTGGGCTACTCTGGCTGGTAAGACATACGAACGCTGCGTGATTATTACCTCGCAAAGATCGTAGCTTGAAATTACCAAGTCGACGCTCACAGCTCCATGATAAATCACCCGAAGCAGCATCACAAAAACGCAGAATTCACACGAACGCGCTGTGGACAGAGCAAAACAAAGCACGTGAAGCCGTTGCCAGGCATGATGTCATCGCTGCTCGCTGGAAGTCGCTCAGTGCCTGAGGCATGGCCTACGAGCTTGCTGAACACTACAAAATACTGTCGATGTCTCGTGGCCTTGATTGCGCCATTGAGCCTTTGGACGCTCTTTGCGCTCAAAATAGGAATAGAATCGAATGAACGCCGCATCTCAAGTTTGACATTGGGTGGCACTGCTCCTTTAAAATGCATTGAACAGCTTTTCCTGTAGCAACTACTGCATGAACACTTAATCTCCGGTCACCACAGATCACCCGGAAACATTGGAAATGTTTGGATCTGTAATCGCTGACCTTAGGCCCACAGAATGTTCATCATCTTCCACACTTACTTTCCCCTGAAAGCCACTTACGCCATTCAAACACATGCATGAGACGTTTCATCTCTATAATCCTCACTTACTATTCGACATGTTTTCATAGAAGATTTTTTAAGTTTCACAAGAAACTTGATGTTGAGCCTCAGTACAGTTTTTACGTTACACTTTTTTTTTTCAGAGCACAGTTGTATGTGTTCACTTATGGCACTGCATTCACAACTGGTGTGATCGGTGTTAAGCCCAAACTGGCCGCATGGATAGAGGGTGTGTGTGGGATGATGTCAGTAAAACAGTTCTTTTGAATTCCACTCTTTTCCAGGTTCACACTTAGTCTCGTTCTTTTTTTTTTCGAACCTTTTATATATGAAATACTGCCCAACGTGTACAACCATTTCAAGATATGTGCATTTTTTCAACTATCACAATAAAATTGGATTGCACAGCCAGCTTACAGAGAGGCTTTTTTTTCTATGTGTCAGTTCAAAAACTATAACATTTTATTTTCATTAATAGAATGTTATGTTTTAGAAGTCATCGTGTAAGCACGTCCTCATGTGCAGTTCGCCATCGTTCAGTGTTAGCTGAACGATGTGAATTTAGCAAACAGAAATAAAGCCTGCAACTTGTCGGCACCTCGTCATTCGTTTCCGGTGTTGCGCTGTGCCAGCACTGCTGAACTCGCACTGCACAATTTCTGAACTTTGCATGCACAGTCGTGAACCGATTTCAAGTGGTGCAGGTAAATCGAACAGACCTAGAGCTATTGTGTTTGTTTTAGTTTGTATGGCTACCAAAGAGAGAGTTTCAGAGGTGCACGTTGCAACTTTACTAATGACGATTCCTGTGACAACATGAAATAGCTTGAACGCATACCATTACACACAGCAGCACCAACAATTCATGAATTATAGTGCACAATGTATTATAATATTTCTGGAGCTCAGAGAAAGATAGGAGACATGACACACAATATACATAAGGTAGTCGTACCCTGCCGTGGTGGTCTAGTGGCTAAGGTACTCAGCTGCTGCCCCGCAGGTCGCGGATCGAATCCTGGCTGCAGGGGCTGCACTTTCGATGAAGACGAAAATGCTGTAGGCCCGTGTCGAGATATGGGTGCACTTTAAAGAACCGCAGGTGATCGAAATTTTTAGAGCCTTGTACTACAGCGTCTCTCATAATCATGTGGTGGTTTTCGGACGTTAAACTACACATATCATATTAACATAAGGTAGTCGTAACCACTTTCTGTCCCTGACAGTGACTTCTATTGGTTGCAGGTTTTGGAAGTGTCGTTGGAGGGACTTCTTCAATACATAGCAACTTTAAAAAAATGCATACTGACTCGTTTTTAGAAATCAAACTATTGATATTATAGTTTATTCTTTTTTTCCCTGAACGAGTTCTTTGATCAACTGAAGTTGAGATGCTTGGTAAGCTGCGTTAGCCCGCCTCTCTTCAAGCACTGCCGCCATTTCCATTCTTCTCATTTCCATTTCAGCTTCTCTTAATCTGACGTTGTCGGCATGCTGCTGGTGTAGCAGCTTCATCTTGTCGTCGTGCTGGCGAATTTTGAGGTCCAGCTTTCTTTTGTCAATCTGGTAGCTGAGGAGGCGCATTTCCAAGTCTTGATTATACCTGGCCTCCAAAAACGCCAGTGTTGCCTCATTTTGGCTTCTCCCTGCTGCAAAAATATGTAAACAAGAAACATTGGACTTGACATACTGAAGTATCTAAAGGGATACTGAATAAAATTTTTGCCACTGTAATTTTCAAGCAAACAGAAAGATTGGCTCCTGAAATCAATTGATACAACCCTCATTAGGCAAAAACTTTGCCTGCCTGGTCAGCCCTTCAGATTTAGGTGGAGACTCACCCCCGCCCCCCAACAGACACATACTGAAATAAAATTCTGCATACACCCTGGTTGCATTGCCGAGATTGTGAAGCATTCCTCACTTGGAAGATACGACAGTGCTTAGCTGCGCGTCAGACAAAGTGACTACATTAATCATCGAAGCTACACACATAAAAAAAAGGAAGGTGCTTGTGTTAGCATGGTGTCATTAAAGAAAAAAATGGAATTTCTAGATTTGTATTGTTTGTGTGAATAAGTGTTCACTATGAGCGGACGAAAGCAAGAGTTGAACAGCTTTTTATTTTCATGTGTATGGTATATAAATTTATGCACTGCAGCAAATAAAAAATAAAGATCGGGTGTGAGTCAGCGCTCATCTGTGTGCCCAGTGTGTCCCTGTTTTCTTGCACTGTTTTTTCGTTACAGTGCTTGCAAACCAAGTAGCCCCCTGACAAGCATCGACAATCTAGCATCAGCTGAAGAAAACGAGCACTCTTGCTGGGGTCTCAGTACCATATACAGTAAACGCTCGGATTTAGAAACAAAATTTTTGCAAACATCTAAGAATTACTTATGCTTTTAGGAAACCCCATTTGTTTTTCTATCTGTTTTGTGCAAAAATGTTTCGTTTGAACATACCTGAATAGCAAAAATTTCAGCTGAACGAGCTTTATTACTGAAATTCTCATTATATTTCTGAAATCAGTTCAATACATTTTTGTGTTCTACTATGCTGGCAGTGGCAGATTGAAATTCCGTAACTTTAACCAGCTCTACAATCCCTTAGAAAGTGGCAAGGCTTTATGTCTCAGCAACAAGCTATGCGACAGAAAGTGCACCAAACATTAACTCTCTGGACAGCCTTGCGACTTCTATAGTGAATAAGTTATACATGATCTACTTAATAAGCTAAGGCTGCTTTATGCTGCTGAATAATATGCCCATAAGATATGAAATATTACTCTGGACTTCAAAGATTGACTGTTGCATCCATATTTGTACTTGAGCTCAAAACCACACTGTAGTAAAGTCAAAGTTGGTGCTGTGATTGCACAATGGCACATATTACTTTGCTGTGATGAAATGAATTCTTTACTGGGTGAAATCATGGCAAATGAGCCCTTTAAGCTCTAGGTTCATTTGGATAGAGCAAAAACTTTGTTATGTACCTCTTAGTGGTGTGCGTCGTCGAGGGGTCTGTTCTGCTGATGAAGCCAGTTGTGCTCGTGCACTGCCTCTAGGCAGTGGCTGTGGCACATTTGTTGAAAGCTCTGAAAATGCACAAGATTGTCACGTTTATTGCTTTATGTCTACTGCCGCTGAAAATGTGCGCTTCAGACACTAACTGAAATTGATTTGTCACGTGAATTTTAATTGTAACCACAAAATCAGCCTATGTTTGGGGAGTCCAGTATTGCTCATTGCATAAACCACAGCTTGCTTGATGACACGTAGTGTTGGAAGTGCTGCTTCAATTGCTCCAAACTGCTCCAACAGAGAAATGCTGCTCCGAAGTGTATTCTTTGTTACAAATTGCTTGAAACCTGCTCTGAGATGACACTGAGTATGAGAATGCTGAACTTTTACTGTTTGACCGACACACAAGTCTTAAAGAAACTAAAAAGAATCTGCCTACTACCATCCCAGTGTGTTACTAGTGTGCAGCATTATTGGCTCTGATCTCAAAAGTGCGACAAGAATTGGCATATGAAGCATACAGCTCCTAGGTTTTTTTTTCTCAGCTAGACATGCAGGCTACTATGGTGAAATTTGAAAATAAGCAGGACTGCTTTTATCTGATGCCGATTATCTACTGCTTATTTGGCAACAGTTATATGGGACTGTGGTTACTTCTAAAATGCGGTGCTCAGCTTTTCCAGTTTGATATCATATCTGCCACACATGGTAGTATTTTATATTGCAGCTTATTGCACAGCATATTTTGGACAATCTGCTATTGTATGATACATTTAATTTATAATGACTGTTGTCTGTTAAATATGTTTAATCAGAAATAATACTTTCGAGCTTATTCGACAATGCTCCGAACTCGTACTAATGTATGGCAAATTTAATATCTTCTAAAACACCGATAGCTGCTCTGAACTACCATTTTTTTCTGCTCTAAAGTATGCTCCAAAAAGTAAAAATGCACTTCCATCACTGGACATCTGATAATAATGGAAGTGTCTAAAAGATTCCTGTAAAATATGTCCAAATGGCATCAAATATTTGTGTCTCTGTATGGCCTCACATTATGGCACATCGAATATAATTTCTGCACAAGCTGACAAAAAGTATCCATATGTCAACAGGCAGTCATGTTTCATGAATTGTATTATGAATCATTAAATGCTGATAATCATACTGGCAGCAGTGGCATGCTCATTGCAAATACTGCCTGTTTTCTTTATAAGAGAAAAAACAAAACATAAAACAAGCTTAGTTGTTGAACTGCCTAATCCAAGGTTGTAGGTTGAATTCTCGGCCGCTGTGGCTTCATTTCAGTGTGTGCGAAATGCAATGGCATTCGTGCACTTAACTGAGGTTGACATAAAAGAACTGAAAGTCGTAAAGATTAATGCCGAGTACATACATTACAACACACCTCATACTCATGTTGTGGGTTTTGCAAGCGAAATCCCACAAATTGTAGCTATTTAAAACATAAACAGGGATATAAAGTTAACAAAATGATGTACCTCGCAATGGTGTGCGGTTATGAGTGGCTTGGGAAGGCCCATCCGCACTTGTTGCTGGCGTGTGGCTTGCCTGATTGGCCGTGCCAGGTGTTAGCTGAGGCTCTGAAAAAATTGACCCCATCATTGTCACATACGGGACTCTTCAAAGTGATGACATAATTTTAAGTAAGCCTTTAATTGGCTTGTTACACTAGGCAACATTACGAAAAGCAACACATTTACACCAGTATACTTGCCCAAGTATTCATCATGCTATCAGCTGTGCTCACAACCAAAAAAAAAAATCGGTAAATTTTACGTGGCACATGAAAACCCACTAATAATTGCTATTAAAAACATAACAAGGAAACAACAATAATAATATACCTGGTGATGGTGTATGGCTGCCACGAACTTCTGTTGAGGGCCCATCAACAGTTGTTGCTGGCGTGTGGGTCCGCTCATCAGCCATGCCAGCTGCGCTCATGTTGGGAGCTAGAAAAATTGACCCCATTATGGGCACACATGTGATTCTTCAAAGTAATGACATAATTTCAAGTAAACCTTTAGTGGCTCATTGCATTAAGCAGGGTGACACGAAGCAACAAAACACCTGCACCAGTCGGATTGCTGAAGTATTAATTAAACAACGTAGGAAAAAATATTCACCATTCTAGCGGTTGCCACTGGTGTCTGGGGAAGTTATCACAACAGAGAGCGAGGACATTTATTCATTAAATATATCCATTCAGTGTTATGAGATGGTATGGCTGCATATGCTCAATCAACAACAGCGAATACAAAACAGTGTTATGCGGTAAGCTATATAGATGATAAGAACAATGCAGAAGATGTGGCAGATTATCACGCTGTCCACATGCTCAGGAACACTGCTGTGCAAAATAAGTGAAGGCAGTTTTATCTAACAACGGCTTTCACAGGTTTTCAAGAGTATGCTGGCAAAAATGTATATAAGTGCCTCACCAATTCTTTGTTATAGTGAATTATGTTGAAACTCGAATATTTTTACATACATTGTGCCTCAGCTGATAAGGGCCAGTCAAAATGGCAGCGGGTGTCTCGATCGTCCACATCATTTGCTGTACCTTCCTCCTCCCTTGCATACATGCTACGCAGCAGTGAAGCCGCTGGGGTCACTGCGTCACCTTGTACAGATGAAAAATATTAAAACACATGAAATCAAAAACCAGTGCCTCTTTAGTGATGTTAGTTACACAAGTTCCCTAACATTTCACCCTAAAATAGGTGCATATTTGCTTTCAATCAGGCTGAACAACACGAGTGACCCTAAACGCTAGAAAGCATTGTTGCAGCACATCATTTGTAAATTTGTGAATGCAGTTACTTGATGGGACCGACAACCAGTAGGAATGTGACTACATCCAAGCAGAAATAAAAAACAAACATGAAAATAGTGACAGATTACAGCAGCCTTTTCGCATTGTAAGTAGGACTTATATTTTGAATATTTTTTTAAAAGCAACCAAAAACAGGTATGTCCAACAGCCCAGAAGAAGCCCCTCGCAGCTAGATTCCCGAGTCTATTGCTGCTGTATGCAGTTGCATATTCCCATGCTGTCATGCATGCCATCGTCAAAATTACAGCGCGTATAACAAAGCCTGCTCTATTCTGTGTTTTATTTACTAGGTAAAAGGAGTTGCACGGTGAGAAGCGGTGCTGCCTTTTGAGCAGCCAGTACACCTTGTTAAGCTGCTGCGTAAGCGCATACAGTGTGCACATGCACAGTGTACTGCCTTGCTCGGACACGAACCACTATTGCGCTCACTGTTTGAGGCATGTGTTGTCACGTGCATCTCCAACCGCAAATTCACTGGTGATAGAAACAAATTATTACAAATGTTTCACAGCATTTTACTTGTTACTATTCTGTGATTAGACACTCTGACTATTAAGCTTTTCATTGTGCTAAAAAATAGGTGCCATAACAATAGGTTGTTGTTCCCTTTGAGGTAGTTAAGAAGACGGATTATCAGATAATTGAGGAGCATTCGTAGCGACCGCAATAACAGTGTCATCGTGGAATTCACTCCAAAAACTTTATCAGGTGAAAATAGCAATTATCTCGTGCATATCAACTGGAAATGAAAACTTTCAGAAAGTCACACATTGACAGATTTAAGTGTGAATAATAATGATAACATAAATGTATCATATGGGTCAACCAATACAGAGTATATTTGGCCTCGAATTGTGCAAGTTAATTTGATTGAACAATGCAGATGAGTGCCAATGTTTCAGAGCTTCCTTCTCCACGCCTTATGAAACAAGAAAAAGAAAAAAAGGGTGGGGGGTGGGGGTATTGTAGCGAGGTTCTTACCAGAATGATTGCTTGTCTCCGCTGCTGATTCAGCAGCATAGCACTCCAGCGCGGCGATGTGGCGGTCGTCCCAACTGGCCTGCGCGGCAGGTCTGACCCGCTTCGCAGTGGACCCCGACGCAGACTCTGACGCGGTCTCTGATGCGGAAGCTGGAGCGTTTTTCGCACGGTGCTTCCGAACAGCCGACCGTGGTGGCCGATACGAATATTCGGCGGCGAGATCAGCCACGTGCTGCAGAAGTACGCCGATTGCAGCGTATTCTTCTTCTGTTCCCGATCTAGTCAAGCAAACAATCACGTTTACAAAGTTTGGCCACAACGTGGTGGCTTGAAGATAACGTGAAATATATGGTCTACTTACTTTTTTCTGTTTTTCGCGTCATTCCGTATGAAGTGGGCCAGGAGAAGGTCGACGCGCTCTTTAACACTTCGTGAATTAAGTGTTCGCCGCAGCAGCATTGCCACTCTCTCGGCGATAGTGTGCCACCGAGAAGCATTTTCGTACGGGTTCAACGCAAGAACTTCTTGGAGTATTATTTTATCATCTGCATGCGAGTAGCGTGTACGCGGCGCCATCCTGGTAGCAGGCCTCGAAGTAGCCATCTTGTTCTTTTACGTTTCTGTCAGGCTCGACTTGACTCGGCTCAAAGGAAAGGGAAGCCGGTAATGGCAACCTTGGAAGCATCTCGGGCGTTTGGGCGTTTGAGCGTGTCCGGTAAACGCCCGTAAGGCACGCGCATGCGCAGTTCAGACCCGATAAACCGGTATCCGCAAACTTTTTTCCGTATAGCGGTGCGCCGGACAGACTAAAATCCTCTATTATATCTAACACTTACCGCTGTTAGCGGACGTCTCGGGGGGGAGGGGGGAACTATCGTGTTTTCAGCATTATAAGCAAGATGGCGCAGTGAGCGCGTGGCAGCTGCGGCGGCTTTCATCTCTCGCGCGTACTTGGGCCCGCGTACAGAATAGAGAGTTTTAGGACAGGGTACCCAAGCTCTTGGGGCGCTGCGGGCTTGGGGGCGCGCGGCGTTTCGTACCCAACCCATACCCAACTGGAATGCTTTTAGAGGCGCGCACGAAAACGCAATCCGCACGAAGGTCACACGCGCTCGCAGCGCCATAACGTCTTGCCGCATAAGTATTATTTAAATATTTTTATGATTTGAAATGTTAAATTAAACATACATAGTGATCAGGGCTCTTTTTTATCGTGTACAGTATCCTGGTATACACAAAAATTGAAAAATACAAGGTTACTGTAACGACAGTATCGACATCTTGTGACACTTCGTGCAACCACAGTCATGAACATGTCAGCCTACGCGTAATGTTTTTGAGGTGAAAATGAATAAAAAGGTTACTCATTTGTGATATTGTCGCTGCGCAGTTTTTGCACCAGATGTACAATGCACAATGTTTCTGCAATAACATTGTTGTAGTTTTCCGTGTCGCCATGGCCGCGCTAGATGGCGTCACCTATTCAGCTGGTCGAGGGCTGGCATATTTTTAGTTTCTATGTTCCAGGTCATTCTAGCTTTGGTAATCTGGCTGAAACCGTGTAATCGCTATTAGTGCTCGCACTTTGACTTATTTTAACTCAATGAATAGAGTATCCGCAGTGCGGACACCGTGAGTTCTTGCGAAGGTGAACCTTGCAAGGGAGCCGATCCATGCTGTCCGAGATTTCGCGCCTTTGTGCCATGCTATTTCTATAGTGGCTAGCCACTATAATATTTGCGCTTAAACCTTAAAAGCCAAAGTGGTGGCTCTGGCCAGCCTCGGCTTTGCTCGCCGTGAAGGTAACATGATGCGCCAGCATGTGCGCTGGGGCAGCTTATTTCCGCTAGGAGGCCAGTGGTGGCAGCGTTGGTTATGGCCATGCGGACGCATAGCCCCATCAACCCAGTGATCTTGCGACGCATCTGTTTGGGGTTTCACGCATGCGCAATACCGCCCCCCCAACGTTCTGGGTACGCAAGACGCTTGGGTACCCAGCACTAAAACTCCTTAATAAGGGAATGTACACTCGATCACGCGCCCTTATCTTGCAATGGGAGAATCGCACGTGCACAGCGCACAAAGGTCCCTGCAATCGTTGCACATCCTCCGTTTGCGAAAAGGCGCGCTTTTCAGACAGGGCAAAGTAACAACTGAGACGCTTATTCACGTTCATCTGTACCATTAGCACGTTTCGTGCTTCATTGGTGCGTGAGAAACGCGGGGCACGTTTCGATCTGCTTGCCATCCTGCTCGTGACCTTCGAATTTTTTGTTATTGCGTTTATTGCTTCGCCTTTGCGGCAAAGCTGTGACTTTTTTCGTGCTGTTGGCTCGTTTATAAGGGGGTGTCGCCAGAGATGGGGAAGTTGCAGATTTTCGCGAAACTCGGCCGGTCCTGCACAGCGCCCCTGAGCCGATGATTGACTAGGCGACTTCAGCGATGACAAAGTTTCATTGAAGGTCGCAGCGTATGTACTTGAGCTGGACGTGCAGGCGCAGTGAGCCGCATGCCTTGATTGCGGACTGGTTAGCCGCACTGAGCATGATAGAGTACGGTGGGGGAAGACCTCGAAGGTGGGACCATAGGTAGCACAGATATTGGAACCGCTATCAATAAAAAGTCGCTGCTTTGCGACATGGTCGGTGACGAAGATGCGGCGGCGTCCAGGTGGGCAGCTTGCGGTTGTCTCCACCAGCTGCCGTTAGTGGTTCTCGTTGGTGGTGCAGAGTGGTTGACATTGCTGCGCCCTGTTACCGAAGTGCAGATGGTAGTAGCCCCAGTCGTGCTCAGGAGGCCGCGTTGAAAGTCACTCACCAACGCATTGTGGAACGTAGCTGAGTTGTTGATCGATGTTGTCAATGCGGCGCGCAAGCCTTGTGGGGTTCAGAGGTGCGGCGACAGCCTATATGGTGAGCGATGGCTGCAGCTGTGGCAAGAACGCACCTAAACCAAAACTGAAAGTGCAAACTGAAAGTGGTGACGCAAACGAAGACGACAAAGTGTGCACGCGGAAGGCGAGCATGAAGCGCGTGAGCGTTTCGAGCGTCGACTGGCAGAGCTTGCGTTGCCACGTTGATGCCATCGGACCAGCCGGGACAAACCAGGCGTGTCCTGTGGTGAGCGGGTGGCTTCCAAACCGAGCCTTGTGACGTGTTTCTACAGTGAACGTGCGCGCGGGTCAGGACAAGCTGCTGATCGTGGGCCAGATAGTGTCCGATACCAACCAGCTACAGAGTTAATCCACAGTGCTGAGTCTGCTGAGGTCCGGCACAACCACATGCTGAGGGCCTTGGCGCCTCGTGTAGGTTCACGATCCGGCACAACCGACTGCGGCGTAGTCTCGTCGCTACGTGGAGTCATCGTCCTTTGAAGCGTTCCTGAGCCGGACGAGTCAGCGCGACTCTCTTTACGGCCACAAGCGTGCGTCTACTACACGGTCATTGGCGCCGTGAGTGATGTCTGCAAACAATAGCAACAGAATGAGTCGGGGCGCAGATAGTCGTAGGCTACCGGACCGTAAGGACTGGGGGTCAGAGGAACGTAACTGTGTTGTGCTGTTCGGCCATGTATTGAACGTGTGTGTATTTGTGCTTGAATTGTGTTGTGCATAAATGTTTTGTTTTCTATGAACTTGTCTGTATCAGAGGGCTCCAGAACCATCACAGCGGCACTGAGACCTCTATGATGTGGTCAGCGAACTGGGCAAGGTCGTTGAGAGAAAACATGGGCGGAGCCTGCAAAATTGCTTAGACGTGTGGTGGAGCCAAATGAATTGCAGCAAAGATTCCGGCCCTTTCGTGATCACCATGAGAGCAGGCATGTGGCGGAGCAGCTGCGAATGTTTGCGTTCAGCGAGCTCTGCAGACTGAAGTTGTTGCAATTTCTCTTGATCTGAATGTGACAGGTGGCGTACGAGTTCGGTCTTGATGTGTTCGTACCAGTTGGTCCCTGGTGGATTGACGACGATATCGCAGACCTCGTTTGCGAATTGGGCGTTCAAGTAGGCGACGATGTAATTGTAAAGCGTCCGGTCTTGCGTGATGCGCGCTGGGAAAACTGGGACTTGACTCGGATGACGTGTACGTCGGGCGCCTCCACCAAAAATGGCGGGAGCTTGATGACGACGTGACGTTTGTGCATGTCGGCGGTGGTCGCAAGAGTGGTGGCGCCCGCCAGAGCAGAACTTTGCGGGGCGTCGCCCAAGCGCAGTTTTTGTTGGGTCCGAAGTTGCTCTTGCAGTTGTACTTTTTGGCGAAGAAGGCTGACAGCTTCTTGACTGGCCACGGTGGTGCGGTAAATAAGTTTTCGGGGTCACCAGATGTGGCATGTGCAGTTGATGAAGGACGGATCGCAACATAAAACGTAACAATTGTTCATGAGTGTTAGCAGTACCGACAGGGCAAGCATGCCGATGCTGTGCTCCATGTTAGAGAAACACTCAGGGAAGCGAGCCTGGCAGCTTGTGTCTTGTAGCCACCTGTGTTGACGTCAGCCTCCGGAGAAGCAGCGGTGGCGCAGTCCCTTATTGAACGCGCGTTGCAGCATGCGGCCGAGTCACGCTGACTGCACTGGTTTGGGCACAGCGTGTCGTCACAACATAAAGTCTTTTCGTATATCTGCCACCGATGCGTCGTTACTGTTCCAGAAACACAACACCACTGGCCACGACTTGACGCCGACGTCACTAGTTACGTCAGGTATTGCCGAGGCTGTCAGTGACGAAAGACATTGCCTACTAGGCCAGCTGGACTTCAGCCCCTCGAGTGACCTTCCCGGCCATTCAAGCAAATAGGCATGGACTTACTTGGGCTGTTGCTGACGTCGATTTCCGGGAACAAATGGATCGTCGTAGCTGCTGACTACCTCACGCGCTACGCCGAGAGAAAGGCCCTGACCAAAGCCATTGCTTCCGAGGTAGCAAAGTTCTTTGTCAAGAACATCATCCTGCGTCATGGAGGTCGACAGGTTCTGAATACTAACAGAGGAGAGGCCTTTACGGTGGACCTGACGCAGGTTATTATGAGGTACAGCCAGAAAAGTTACTGCCGGACTACCACCTTTTATCTACAGACCATCGCCGGTAGGCTGGCCATGTACATTAACGTCAAACACAGGACGTAGGATGCAATACTTTCGTATGTGCCATTCACGAACAACAGTTCTGCGCAAGAAATGACACAAATGACAGCGTACAAGTTGGTGTATGGAAGCAGCCCGACCATGACGCTCGACGCCATGCAGCCGTATTTCCACGATAAGGAAAACATCAATGTGACTGTCTACCTCCAGGGCACGGAAGAAGCTCGACAACTCGCCTATTTCCACATCAATACCCAGTAGACGACAAACAAGCGCCGTTACAATCTTCGACGACGCTTCGCTAAATATCCCCCCGATGAACGTGTTTGGCATGGATGCCGATACGCCAACGTGGACTCAGTGAAAAACTACTGCGAAGGTACTCCAGAGCGTGCAGGGTGGTTCAGCGTCTCGGCCCACTCGAGGTTGTCCCTAGTGGCATCACAAACTGTCAACGGCGGCGATCGTGACCTGAAGTCTTACATGTCACACGCCTGAAGCTGTTTCCTGCACGTTAACGAGCTGAAAGAGCGTGTTTTGTTGTTGTTATCTGTGTATCATAATTTATTTCTTGTACTTTGTTGAAGTATTAGTTTCTGAAGTATTGTTTTCCTGAGTATTTCCTCATAATACTTTCCGAGTATTTCAGCACAGCTCTGCTTTTGCAGTGAGATTTATTCGATGTGGTTCATTTGTGCGTTTAGGTGTACATAAGTGAAAAATTACTGCACAGTCAAGCGCAGCAACACAAACAGCACGGCCTGGTGGGCAATTGCCGCTCCAATCTAGTCGTCTTTTTTCTGTTGGTGCATAGCCACTTTTGCACATGCCCCATTACACTTTAAGTGAGGCCTTTTGTCACCTAGAAAACGGTTTAAGCTCAAATATTTTAGTCAACGCGTCCTTATATTACAAGAGAAAAGCATGGGTCCAGACACTTATGACACATTACCTCTTCCAGGGCCTTCCAGAGTTCCGCATCACTGTGTTCGGAGAAAGGATCCAAGTTGCGCCTTATGGGTCCAGTGAACAAAACCGGATCCTGCATTGAAACATGAGTCACACTATGGAAGACTTCAGAACGTAACATGACGATTCAAATTAAAAGAATGAGTTAAGTGTCACATACGTTATAAAAGAAAAGCAAGACATGCACTCATGTATACGTCGGATGTGATGCGTGTTCGAAGTTAACATTTATGGTTTTCTTAACGGTAAGCACTGAAAGATTATGTAAACTACATATGCAGATAACTTATACACATCCAGGGGGCACAAAGCATGGCTAGATTTGTTGTGTTCAGCCGCGCAGTTCCACTTGGAAGAATTGCTTTATTATGCAGGTCTGTTCATATCGAGAGTCTCAAAATAAAGTTTTTCAAATAAAAGTTTTATTTTGGCATATCATGTTTGCAGCGTGAAGGATATAAAGAAGAGGGTCCTAAAGTCAAGGCACCCTACCGGAACCCTCTGTGCAGAATGACCAGAGAGAAACTGGGAAATATGCACAAAAATAAAAAAAATCGAAGTAAAAAATAAGAAGAGACACAGGTGCAAAAGTTACGCAAAGGAGTACTGCGATAATAAGTGACAACATTAAAATATTGCAACAAAGTTTATTTCTGCTTTTCATTATTACACATGCAGGGTTGTGAGGATCAGCACAGTGTTCTCCCACGTGGTGAAGAGTCACTGCTTGCTATCACGAGCCGGTAGTAGCGTAACCTTCATTAGCTTTGCCCATGTCTTCAACCCATTGGCACACGAAACATCAAACGCAACGTCCCCGCATATCACGGAGGAGCTTGGCGACAGTGCTGAATGTCTTGCTTGCGTTATTATATAAACCACCATTAAACAAGCAAATGGATATCTCAGCGAAAGCATGCTAGAAGAATTTTTCCAAGTGAAACTGGTTATAAATATGAATGCCCACAACTTTTCAATTATTATATACAGCCACTTGCTGATGTCACTAAATATTTATATTTTAGTCAATTTGGTGCTGACGGCAATAATTGTACCTATTCGTGTTCTCATAAATACGAGTGTGTAAGCTATATGCAACAATGTTTTTCATTTAAAATAGCTAGAAGGTGACCTAATTGGTGTTGGCTCATCTTCAAAAGTAGGCTCATGAACGCGGAGGAAGAAAACACAGTACAACATGCAACGCTCATAGTGCTCATGGTGTCTTGGGTTGAGTTTTTTCGTCTCGTGTTCACAAACTGCCCTTTTTATTATGAGCCATTTTCATGTGCTTCCCAGTGCTGAATTAAAAAAATTGCTGTGAAGGTTAGTTTTGAAAACCCTCTATGCAAAATTACGTATGTGTATACATTGGCCATTTGTTTATGGCCACTTTGCTCCTATAGCAATAGGCTCTTCAAGAAGATATTTTATATGTACCACTACAGGGGTAAGTTACGTACGTATGTATGTATGTATGTATGTATGTATGTATGTATGTATGTATGTATGTATGTATGTATGTATGTATGTATGTATGTATGTATGTATGTATGTATGTATGTATGTATGTATGTATGTATGTATGTACGAACGTACGTACGTACGTACGTACGTATGTATGTATGTATGTATGTATGTATGTATGTATGTATGTATGTATGTATGTATGTATGTATGTATGTATGTATGTATGTATGTATGTATGTATGTATGTATGTATTGTTGTGCCACAGACATGTTCCTCGTTCGGGAGCACGTCTCACGAGATTGAGCCCTGTTCCGACGAACTGTCTCCCCCCCCTCCCAGCGCCGCCTTCCGTGCAGAAGAACCGTGCAGTTCCGGGGATAACGTCGCTTCCTCCGCCGAACCACTTTGCAGTTCCGGGTATCGCGGCGTCTCCTCAGCCGAGCCACTGTGCCATTCCGGGGAACTGGTCTCGCAGAAGAGCCCAAAACGCTATTTAAGGCCGTGCCGGCCCCATGTTAGAGGGATTTTGCCCCAGCCGACGTTGTCGTGCTGGCCGGCTCTCTACAAACGACAACCTGCTACAGTAAAGGGTACTTTTGTTGTTGTTTCCAAAACGAATTGCCTCCCTGTTTCGCCTTCGGACTAAGGCTTCAGCGAAGTCCGCTCGACGGCTCGCCGCTCTTCGCCACCGCTATCATCGCGACAGAGAAAATTCATAACAGTGGTTGGCAGCTTCGGGATACGATATCCTACATTTGGCACGCCGGATCAGAACACTGGAAGCTCGAGCACGACCGACCTGATATCAGCGTTTGGATACACTGATATACGCTACCCTGTTCTCATCGTTCGGCAAGCTGGGACAAGCAACCCCGGATCTCAACATTGGCAAGTTGGACCGGATCCCTGAAGGCCTGATACTATTCGACGGCAACCACGAGTTGGACCATCGTCGGCTACTTTGGTTGGGCGAGTGCCCAACATTTACTGTTAATTTCGCCAGACCTCTCTAGCACAGGCAGATGTTAGGAGAGCGTTTTGTGTTTCGTTGGTTATAATTAAATATTCACCTACTTTAAACCACGAGATTAGTTTTGGAGTACGGTGAATATCAGTAGTAGAGCATCACGAGGGATGAGATCGCGATGGAGCAATACCTGGTGCAGGACCTCCTTGAAATTTGTGGAGCCATGGGGATTTCCGCCGGGTCCGCTAAAACAAAGGAAGCGATTCTCGAGGTGATGCGGGCAGAAAATGTGACTGCCGATGAGGCTGACGAGTTTTGGGAGCTCATTTGTGAGCAAAAGCAGAAGGCCGAGAAAAGCCGTGAAGAGCTCGAAGCTCAAAGGCACGAACAATGGAAGGCCGAGGAGTGTCGAAAAAGGAGAGAACATTCTCTCAGAATGAAAGAGCTTGATCTTAAAATTCAAGCGCTTAATTGGGAGCGAGCGAAACACCAGCTTCGCAACTTTCAGATAGGCGAGAACATCGCAAATTTTCTTGAGGATTTTGAAGTTGTTTGCAGTAATGTTGGTGTTAGCCGCGACCTTTGGGTGAAGAAGCTCGCCACGTTGTTGCCGCGCGAAATCGCGCATGTTTTGAGTTGTTTACTTGGCAAAGTTGTTTACTTGACTTGGCAGCAGCGGTTGCGGCGGAAAGAACGGCGTAAACGAACACGGTCTCTTCTTCTGTTTCGCAGGCTGTTGGCATTCGTCAGACACCGTGTGCATTTTTCGTCGTCCATATGCACATCGCCGTCGGTGCGAAGGAGAAGTAACAAGCTCCGCTGCGCCTGCGCCCAACTACCCTGCGATGAATTCTACCGCACCTGCGCCGTACAGCCACTGGGCTTCTTAAAGGGAGGACCAAGCCATCACCGAGACCACTTGGCAGCAGCGGTTGCGGTGGAAAGAACGGCGTAAACGAACACGGTCTCTTTTTCTGTTTCGCAGGCTGTTGGCATTCGTCAGACACCGTGCGCATTTTTCGTCGTCCATATGCACATCGCCGTCGGTGCGAAGGAGAAATAACAAGCTCCGCTGCACCTGCGCCTAACTACCCTGCGATGAATTCTACCGCACCTGCGCCGTGCAGCGACTGGGCTTCTTAAAGGGAGGACCAAGCCATCACCGAGACCACTTGGCAGCAGCGGTTGCGGCGAAAGAATGGCGTAAACGAACACGGTCTCTTCTTCTGTTTCGCAGGTTGGTGCTGTTTCTATGCCCGCTGTAAATTTGGTTGTGCCGCAACTACTGCTGCTACTGCAGGTGCTGCTGTGTAAACTACTGTTCTCATTTGTCGCTTTGTGCAACTATGCCCCGAGATGGAACATGTTCTGTGTGCGATAAGCCGTTCACTGGGGACGTCGTATGAATTGAATGTAGCGACTGCTGTCAAGCATTTCACGCCGGCAAATGTGCTGCAATTTCTGAAGCAACTATCAAGTCCAAAGGGCAGGCATACTGCGATGCATGGCGCTGCCCTACCTGTAGACGGTCGAGGTTGCGAGCAGCATCAGCTGAATCAAAAGAACCGGGCAGTGAGGCCGACATGCAAGATGTCCGAATTTGGATGAAAGCTATTAACGAAAAGCTGGATAAACTAGTACTGCTCAAAGAAACAGTTGAGAGCATTGACGACGCGGTGCAATACTTGAGTGAAAAATACGACGAAATACTAAAAAAAAAACGGAACAAAACGAGCGTGACGTCAAGGACCTTAAGCGCAGATTGGAAAAGGTTGAGATGCGGGACCGAGAAGTAGCTGAAGTGCAGGCAGAAGTAGATAACCTTGAGTGGAGGAGCCGCAGACTCAACCTAGAATTCCATGGAATACAGGAAACGGAAGATGAAAACTTGCTAGAAGCGATCAATGCAATGGCAATTAAACACCAGTTCCCGCCACTCGCAGAAAGTGATGTGGTCGCCATTCATCGGCTTCCGCCCAGAAAAGATAAGACGCCGGTCGTTATCTGTCGTTTTGCGAAGAGAGCGGACCGAGATTTCTGGTGGAGAAACAGAAAGAAACTGAGCAGCCTAAATGAGCACTTCTTCTTGACGGAAAACCTGACCAAAAGAGCGCGTGCGCTGTTGTTTGAGGCAAAGAACTGGGCTAAAGAAGCGAACTTCAAGTATGCATGGCACTCAAACGGGAAAGTTCTAGTGCGTAAAGCTGATGGGGAGAAAGCCATACGCATCGCAAATGCTAGTGATCTAAACAAACTAAGCTAAAGAAAAAAAGAAATGATCGGCTCAACATGGCTTGCGTAGGAAACGATTCTTATGTGCTTCCGGGAGCGTTTTCGCAGAGTTTAGGAAATTTCTACTCAAACTCGTTGAAATGTTTTCACTTGAATGTGCAATCGGTAAAAAATAAACAATCCGACCTTAGCCTTTTTTTCGAACAATTAAATCATGTATTCGACGTCATAATGTTAACTGAAACATGGTCAACAGATGAAGCCAGCGTGTTTCGCTTGCCTTCGTACAATACGTTCTACCTTAATCGAATTTCTGGTCGTGGCGGTGGCGTATGTATTCTAGTGAAAAAGGTCGTTGACTGTGACCTAATTCAAAATTTCACCCACTCTTGCAATGACTTCG